ACCAAGGTGTGATAGATGGGCTCCGGGAGGTGGGCAGCGGAGAGCTCAACGTGAAGCACCTGATCGGTGTCACGGAGGACCCGACAAGTGTAATCACGCGAGTGAAAGAAGAAGATCTTATGCGACATATTACCGACGCCCGAGTGGAAACCAAGGCGACGTGAGTAGTAGTCAAGCGAAGGGTTACGAATCATTGGCTCAATGAAGCCAACAAAATCGAGTCTGTGGTCACGAATCAGAGAATGGAGGTGAGAGAGGGTAGCCCTGTTCGCCAGGCCACGGCCATTCCAAGTAATGGACGTGACTGACATATCAACTGTCGCGAGAGCCACTGGACAAAGTCCGCCTATGGCGAGGCTGAGTCGCGCTGCGTAAAGTAGGGCGACGTCGAAATGATCCAATAGCAGGGGAGGCAGTCCGCCGCAGCGTGCGCTGTGAGGCTCTGGTCCTCGTATACTGCCTGCCTCGGATGGCGCTCGTGGCCTGTGTGTCGTCTGGCTGGGCAATCTGACCAAGAGCGACACTAGCGGCTTGCCCCATATCCGGGGCTGTCTCCTGTCTGTCATGGTGCACAAAGGCACTAGACGCGAAGCTCTCGCAGGAGACGTCATGCTGAGCGCGGTTAAGACCGCATGCCTGCTCGGGGATGGGAGAAAGAGGATGTCCAGCCGGCGGGGCAGTCATGTGCTCGCCTCCAGAGGAAGGGTGGGGGCTGGCTATATGCTCAGCCGTGGTTCTAATCTCCGGGGAGAGAGGAGGGGCCGACTGATCCCCTTTCGGGGGAGCGGTGGAGGCACTAGCCCTCAAATCTAGAGGGTCGCGGTCCGGACTGGATGCACGCACGGTCTGAGGGTCTACGTCGCGTGCACTGTCATCGGACAAATGGATGGACTCACCCCTGGTCGAGGCCTTCGGCTGGTCCATATCGTCGACCAGAAGATCATCGTCGTCAAGGAGCGCAAGGTCAGAAATCTTAGGATGGTGACTAGTGGACGGAACGTCCTCATCCTCTGCCTGAGGGGAGAGGACGGCAAAGTACGAGTGATTGGCCTTGAAGGCCGTCTGGATGGTCTGTCTCGGGAGAAAGCCCGTGGACTTGGGCTTTGGCCCCACTATGGCCGACTGCTTAGGCTGGTTAGGATGAGCGTCCTTCCCAGTTTGGGCAGTGGCGTCAAACACAGCCTTGCCCTTGTCCTTAGACCGCTTCGGGGTCTCGGGCGTACGGATAGGGCTTTTGCCCTTTCTCTTGGGGTCCCTTCTGCCGGTGGAGGGCCCTGGCTGAGCAGCGCGATGGCGCTGCGGAAGCGTGGGTCGTGGCTTATTGCCACTAATGTAGCAATCAGCCGCAATGTGACCCACATGGCTGCACAATGTGCAGAACGCGGGGATCTTTTCGTATATCACCCGCTGAAAAAAGGACTCTGAGCCCTGCTCAATTTCGATCTCATGAACGAGCTCCGCTCTGAGATCTATCTCAACACAGAATCGCGCCACGTTAGCCCTCGTCTGAAGGGCCGTGTGGGCATCGATACGGATCGGCTGCCCGATACACTTAGCAAGTGTAGTGATGGCAGCGCGGTCGTAGAAGTGGGGTGGGAGGCCGGGAAGACGGCACCAGACGGGGACAATCGGTGCCTCCGTCTTCGGATTAAATCCGACATAGTATTTGAACACCCTAGCTGGGCATCCACACAAATGAATCAAAGTCTTGAGCCAGACCTCATTATAATCCTCAGTGAGGTGGAAAGACACTAACAGGTGGTTAAAGTTAAACCACTTCGATGAAACACTACCCTTAAAACCCAATTTCCTTAATCCAGCAGATATATCTCGAGGGGCGGGGATAGCATATGAAAACTTAAATACCAGGGTGTTATCTAGTTTACCTGCGAGAGCGACAGATTCGGCGTCGGTGAATCGGGCCTTGACTTTGTTCTCCTCCGAGCGGATAATGGTCCCGCAAGCATGCTCGTAATTTCCGTCAAAGGCGAAGTCCTTGGCCGTCGGATGCGGACCGGCCGTGTGAACATTTTTCTTCCCCGTAACCGCCTCCCGGAAAGAGAGCGGGCCAGTGGAGGTGCCTGGATGGTCAGCGGTTTTGACCGTGGAGGCAGTCGTCGGAGGGGGCCCATTCGGTGAGAGTCCGGAAAATTGGGCCGCTTGCATCGTTTTTGGGCACGCAACAGTCGCGCCATCCTCACGCACATACAAAATGTCCGGTTCAGATTCTCCGGCAGCAGGGATGGCTATTCCGGCATGTTGATTGGTCAGGGAAGGTGACAATGGTCGAGGTCCGAGAATTCCGGCCGAAGGGGTTGATTTACGGACATTTCCGGGTGGGTTGCCGTTGTTTTCTGAAATTCCGGTGGTCAAGCCTTCGCCGGCGCCGGCGCCGGCGAGGAGGTGGTCGGGCCCTGGCAGAAGGTTGCAGTCGGAGGAAGTGACCTGCTGATTAGTACCTTTTTTAGGGAGAGGCTGTGGGTTAGCGGGATGATCATGGGAGGTGTCGGGGTTAGGCTGGGACTGAGAGGGAAGGGGGATGGGCTGAAGGGTGGTGGGCTGGGATTTTAATTGGGATGTGGGCTGAGGGAGTGACCCAAAATTGATCACGTGTGGGGATGGTTGAGAAAGGATAGATGCATGTGTTTTGTTGGGCCCAAGACATACTTGGCCCAAAGGGTTAGAATTTCCCAAAGTTGGATCCAGCTGGAGAGGGTCCATTTTACAGCTCATGACATCAAACCCTACCATTTGTCCGAAGGGTAAAGGTTGAGCTGAGAGCTGGAGATTATCGGTCAAAGTTGAAAGGATAGCGGCGGGTGTCGTCCTCCCCGGTAAACCCAATTGCGTCGCCGGAAAATGTGTCCCGCGGCCCATCGCTGGGTCCCTGTTATCGGAGTTGGAGCTTCTGTTCTCAGGCGTGGTGGCGGCGGCGGAGCGTGATTTGTCCAGCGACCCTTGTGTCGACATGACCGGCGAGCTATGTTCCATCGACGGAGGATGATGATGATTGTTGGGCCGAGAGGTGGAGTTCTTGTTGTTGGGCTCTGATGATGGTGCAGGAATGATGCTTTGGCTCAAATGCGGACCAGTCAACGTGGCGGCAGCGGTCATCTTTTCCGGCGAAGCCAGTTTTAGCGATGGGTTAGACGACCCGGAAACGAGCGGCGGTCCCTTATTTTCGATTTTTGCATCTCGATTTTCTGATGTTTGGCCGAGAGGACATTCGGCGATTTCTCCTTCTTCCAATTCTTTATTTTTCTTTTCTTCAGCATTTTCTCCTTTCTTTTGCTCGAGAAATGCTACAAGAGTTTTTCGAAAATTCGGATTTGACAGGAGCAGTTCCAAATCCGTGAGGACCATACTGAAAATATTAGATGACTAATAGGTTAAAACCGGGTGAAAATGGAGAAAATATGAGGCGTCCCCGAAGGTCGGGGAGGCCGCCGGCGGCGGCGGCCTGAGGTGGCTAGGCGGGGCTGGTGGCGGAGGTTGGAGGGAGGAGGTGGCTGAGGACGAATTTGGGTGAACAATTTTTAGAGAGAGAAAGCTAGAGAGAAGGGAGAGCATTTGCTAGGTTCTTGGTTAGTTGTCTTTTTGTCTGTTGTTGCTAGGTTAGTTGTGTTTTGTTGCTAGGTTAGTTGTCTGTTGTTGCTAGGTTATTTATTTCTTGCTACTAGGTTAGTTGAGTTTTGTTTCTAGGTTAGTTATCTTAAGTTGCTAGGTTATTTCTTTCTTGCTGCTAGATTAGTTGTCTTTTGTTGCTAGGTTTTTTTTTTTAAACAAACAACGCCCCGAGAGGCGGGGGATTAGGCTGGATCCCCAACCTGTATATAGATCATAGCCCTAAAATGGGCCAAAACACTCAACATAGTCTCACAATCCAAACAGTACAGTAACGAAAACAGCAAGTGAAAATAGAACAAGGTCTGTCATCGGGCTAACAGGTGCCCGGAATAAGTGGATGGTCTAAGAAAAGCAAAAACCAAAAACCTAATCTACCGAAATCGAAACGATGGATATCCCAGCTGATCCATCCGAACTAGCGTGTGAAGGCGGAGTGGAGAAGTGTAGGTCTGATACGTGTGCGTGTCTGGTATGGTAGCGCCAAGGCTGGCAAGGTAATCAGCAGGTCTGTTCCCCTCACGGAAGATGTGTGTGATCCTGTAATGGACAGACCGAAGTAGATCTCTAATGCGCATAAGCGGGTGCTGAATCTGCCACGAGCCCTGATGACCCGAGGACAGGAGGGTGACAACAGCCGCAGCGTCCAGCTCAATCCAAATATGACTAGAGAGGTCGGCAGCAATCTGAAGCCCAATCTGTAATGCCTGAATCTCTGCATCGTAGCTCGAGGAGCCCTGAAGGGACGTGTGGAAGGCGGTGATAAGGGCTCCAATGTGGTCCCGGATCAAGCCTCCTCCTCCGGCAGTACCGCTATGGCGATCGAAGGATCCATCGGTGTTCAGCTTGACCCAAGGAGAGTCGGGTCGAAGCCAAACAACAGCTCTGGGCCGAGGGGACCGAACAGGCGGAGGGGGAGCCACCCTGTATCGGTGCGGTGGCGTGCAGCCTGTCCAGTCACGTGCAGAAAGCCTGCCCAGCACTGTGAGGAGCGAAATGTGTCTCTCCACCTGCAAAACAATGTGAGAAAGCAAGAAAGTAATATCCCTATGCTTCGCACTATTCCTTTCCGTCCACGTGAACCAAAGGATCAGACAAGGAATGAGGAAGCTCACGTGTCTAAAGTGTGTGCTCTGTGAGAAAAAACTCAGGAGCTCAAAAAAACTGTCTGTGGAGGGTAGGGATATATGAGTCCAAGTAGCAAAATGCTCCCACACTCTCCTCACAATCTCATTCTCTAGAAAAAGGTGGGTAAAGGTCTCGGTCTCATGACGTCCGGTCTCAGGACAACACACACATCGGGAGGGGAAGGAGATCCCCCACGCATGTAACACAGTGTCCACGGGTATCCGGCGCAAGAGGAGACGCCAAAGGAAAACAGATATGGTAGGGGTGAAAAGGTCGCTCCAGATGGCTCCGAAGAGAAGATTCGGCCGATCTCTCAGCCTGATCTGCTCCCAACCCGAGATAGTAGAAAACACACCCGATGATGTAAGTCTCCACCTCATAGCATCCGAACCGTCCCTCGAGATGGGTATCTGCTGGATCCTATCTAATAACTGCTCACTAAAACCCGCCCCGGAGCTCAACTCTCTATCAAGCATCCCCCTATCCCATGACCCGTCCGTCCAAAGGTCGCGCACAAGCAGGTAAGGGGAATGCGACACCTGCCTATCTCTAGACAACGACCTATCACCTAACCACCACTCATCCCAGAAACTAACCTCGCCATCCCCCAAAACCCAAAAAATGTGATCCTGGGTGCGCCTTCCAACCATAGTGAGGCGCCGCCACTGTCTGCTATCATGCGCAATCGCCGTCACCCAACAAGGGTGGTTGGCACGTCTAGAGCAGTACTTGCCGCGAAGGTACTGGGCCCAAAGCGACTTTCCTTCTCTGAAGCGCCACCACAACTTGTATGAGAAGGCAGTAACAATATCCCTAAGGCGACGAATGCCAAGGCCACCCTCAGGGAGAGGGCGGCAGATAGAGTCCCAACTCACCCAGTGGGTACGTCTCCCCCTCCCCGAACCATCCTTGTAACCCCAGAAATAACGAGCCATGATCTGGTCAATCTCGTCAAGAGTGGACCTAGGGGGGTCGAGGACCATAAGTAAATGAAGCGGAAGGGAGCTAAGGGTGCTCTTGATCAGAGCAAGCCGACCACCGAACGAAAGATGTCTATGCGACCAACCAGAAATCCTATCGATAATCCTCTGCCTGATGCCCGCAAAGAGCGCTCTCGTGAGGTTGCCCTTATATAAAGGGGCACCAAGGTAGGTAATGGGAAGGTCGCCGTGCGCAAAGCCAGTGATCTCGTGGACTCACTGAACCCACCTGTCCGCGCTGGAGGAGGAAAGGTTGAAGATGCTCTTCTGCACACTGATCAGCTGGCCGGTAACCGAGCTATAATGCTCCAGTAGGTGCATAAGCTCGATCAGCCCATCTTCATCCACACGAGTGAAGATGATGATGTCATCCGCATAAGATAGGTGCGAGACGGGGGGACCATAGCCACGGGTGCTATATGTCATTTGAGGATAGTCGCGGATAAAGCCGTCGAGACAGCGAGAGAGGTAGTCTGCCGCAAGAACAAAAAGTGACGGGGAAAAGGGGTCTCCCTGTCTAAGACCTCTAGATGAGGGGAAAAAATCTGTGGGGCTGCCATTAACCAGGACCGAGAACGTGCAATGCTCCACACACGCCTCTACAAAGCTGATCCATCGCTCCGGGAATTCCATCCTAGCCAGTGCCTCCCTAAGAAACGGCCACTCCAATCTATCATACGCCTTAGCCATATCTAGCTTCAGCGCAATGTTCGGTGCCCGCTTCCAGTCTGCATGGGATATATCGTGGATCATCTCCTGGGCCAAAAGTATGTTATCACTAATGACCCGACCCTTGACAAAGCCACTCTGGTTCGGAGAGATGAGGGAGGAAAGGATAGGGGAAAGACGGCCGTTAAGAATTTTCGAAATAAGCTTATTGGTCACGTTACACAGACTGATGAGCCTGTAGTCGGACCAAGAGCTCGGATTGGGTCTTTTGGGAATCAAGACGATAGAGGTAGCCATGAAGGAATCCGGCATCCGGTGACCGGTGAAGAAATCCAACACCACCTCCTCAACATCAGGCTCGACTATATCCCAACAGACCTGATAGAAGAGGGAAGAGAACCCATCGGGGCCAGAAACGCTGTTGGGATCAATCCCAAAAACAGCATCCCTAACCTCCTCCCTGCTCGGAAGCTCACAGAGGTCGACAAGGTCGACCGAAGGAGGGATGGTAGGGAAGAGAGAGACGGTCGGGGCAACGAGGGACCATCTCTCAGAGGTGAAGAGGGTCTGGAAGTGAGCAACAGCCGACTCCCGAATCTGAGACTCCTGGGTCAGGGATGACCCATCGGACTCAATACTATGGATGTACGACTTAGCACGCTTCTGTCTAACGAAGCCCTGGAAGAACCTAGTGTTTCGCTCGCCCTCTGCCACCCAGCGAACGGCCGCCTTCTGCTTCCAGAAATCCTCCGCCATAAGGAGTTGGAGCTGGTACTCGGCGTGGCAGCCGTGCATCGCAGTCCTATTCTCCGGAGTGAGATCCAGGTCATAGGCCCGCTCAGCCTCCGCGTGCGCATTCTGAGCCGCAGAGAGGCGCTGATGGAGGTTTCCAAAAACATCCCAGTTCCACTGTCTCAACCTACGCCGTAATCTGCTGAGCTTAGCTTCGAGATTGCGCATCCCGAAGAGTCCAGTCGATTGAAGCTAGGAATCCCTGACAGTGTCGTGGAAAGAGTGGTGGCGAACCCACATGTTCTGGAACCTAAAGAAAGCGCGGCGGGGAGTGCTCGAGAAGCGACACCTAATGAGAAGTGGTGAATGGTCAGACCCAAATCGAGTGAGATGCATGACGGTCGTGACCGCAAACACCTTCGACCACGCTTCAGAGACCAAAGCACGGTCGAGCCTCTCTCTGAGGTCGTCCCTAACCCACGTGAAGGGCTCATCCTCACATCCAGCATCTATCAACTCACAGTCCACCATAGTCTGAGCAAAGTCCCACATCTCCCGGGACCGGTCCGTGCAGCCACCCACACGCTCATCGGGGTGCAGAAAGATGTTGAAATCGCCACTAACCATCCATGGCAATCCCTCCATACTCTCAGCAATCTCACGCAGGGTGTCCTACACATCGTGTCTCCCGACTCTATTACACTTGGCGTAAACCAAAGTGTGAAATATGGGCTCAGGGAGATGGGCAGCAGAAAGCTCGACATGAAGCACCTGATCGGTGTCCCGGAGGACCCGACAAGTGTAGTCACGCGAGTGGAAGAAGAAGATCTTATGAGAAATGTTACCCACGCCCGAATG